TTGAAACTATATCGATCTTCCTTATTTAGTATGTGCCCAGTATTGACTCTTGCCAGTATAATATTGACATCTTTTGTATGTGGTGAATTATTAAATACGGAAAAATTCGCCTTATAAAACATTTGCATCAGTTGATGTGGACCTGTCGGATATCAGTTTTTTGTTGATTTCTTTTGACGTCATTGCACAGCAAAGCGGTTATTAGAGGGAGTATTTTTGTGCTCCATGCTGAACATGAAAGAGATCATTGTAAAAATCGAACTGAATGAAGACCTGTAGCTCATCGATCAAGTGAGTCGCGTTTTTCAATTAGCATTGCAGCGCGCTAGGGAGTTTAAGTGCATTCCAAGTGAAAATTTATCGAATGGCATTTGAACAATATTCAAACTGCACTTTGACAGCATTATAAATATTCTCACGGCATTCTAACAGCATTTGAAATATTCTGATCACATTAGAGCGAGATCGGAACTGGTAAGTCACTTAGCACGTAGCCAGAGACAGGGCTAAATGGAAAGAATGACTGTGGCCTTATGTCCCACACGGGACGAAGAGCTCTGATGATGATGATGAAGTCACTTAAAAGTCCGCCAGAATGTTTCGAATGTGCCACGGATGAGCTGGAATGCAACTCGAATGCGTCTCGATTGCTGCCGAAATCTATTCCCATTATTAAAAAAATTAGGCTCTAACACACTTCAAATGCGTCTCCATACCGACAGTGTGAAAGTGCCAATTAGTCGTGAAGTGAGTAATGAAATTAATTAGAGCACAACCGAACTGTATAAAAACACGACCTGCTGCTGCAGGAACGTCAGTCGTAACAGAAAAATCGCCTGGTCACTCAACATTACCTAAGGCCGCCAAGAAAGAAGGGAGGAAAGGTGAAAAAGTCCACAACTGGACGCGGCCATCTATCCTTGGCCCTACTCTCTGCACTAACTCATTAAACATGTCAGGCTCCATTCTGAGGTAGTTGAAGAAAGACTGGGTCTTCTACTCTAAGCTCCGCCATCAATCTTGAGTCATGTCCATACAGCCTTCTCCTGTCCTCTGCCAACCATGGTCTAGTCTGAAATCTCCTGCGTCTTCTCCTTTTGTTTCTTTACCTGGCCTCCACATCTCTTTCAAGCAGGTCTTGCTGGAGAACAGTAATTTACAGCAGAGCAACATGGCCCACGTTGTCCATTGTATATGGTTGCGGGGATGAGACTGATTAATATGCTACATTCCTCAGCATAATATACCCTATCAATCACCATTTCAGTGGCGTTCTTTATACACTCTAGCCATTTGTGTTACATTCTTAACATATTCGAAAGTAATTTCAGTATTTCAGATGCATTCTGTTTGAATTCTTTATATTTCAAACCATCATTGGCAGCCATACCGGGAGCATTTATAATGCATTTGAGCACGCTTCGTATATCATTCGAGGCACCTTCTTACATACTTCAGCCTGTGTTCGGGCAGCAGTCAAACCACACTCGTACAGCATTTGAATTTAATTATAAATATTCTGAATGCATTCTAACAACATTCGCAATATCCCTACAGTATTCCAACTACATTCGAGCTGCATTTGAGAGGTAATATACGTGGAATGTGCAAGAATCATTCCAGGCGGGTTCGATGTGCATTCTTAGTATTCCAGAGGCATTCTTACAAAGCCGTAATATTTATAATTTGAAATTCCCTCCCGAATATGGTAAGAATTTTTAAATTTAGTAATTCCGGCTGGACTCCTATTTAATTTGAATAAGTTTGACGGGGGCTTTAAGTCACTTGTCAGTTCGAATATTCCTCTAACGTGATCAGATGTTTCGAATGCTGTCGGAATGCCGTGAGAATATTTAGAATGCAGTCATAGTGCAGTTAGAATACTGTTCAAATGCCATTCGATAAATTTCCACTTGGAATGCACTTCGAACGTTTTTGACATGACAAAAACATTCGGGATGCCACAAGAATGGGTAAAATAATTAGAATGCACTCGGAATTTTTAGAATGCTCTTCGAATGTCCAGGAGCTCACAAAGAATTGTGTTTCCGACGGCATTCTTGCTCATTCCGCCTCTAGTGTGACGGGGGTATTAGCTGGCATTTCGAGAGATGCCACTCAGAAGAAATCACTGAATTTTTCTGTTGATCTGACGGTTACCAAGTGCTGTGCAAAATAATCCTGCAGCGTTACCTGTCAAAAACTCTTATTAACACAAGTGACCAACACTTCCTCTCGACAGACAGTTTCATCCGATCATTTTGCCGATAACAGAGAAGGAATCTCCCATGTAAAATTACTCGATTGCCGAGAAAGACCCATTGAACCGTTCAAATGCAACTTCACACCTCTTAATTATGGTTAAACGTAATAGCCTTTGTTAGCGCTTCCTTCTACATATCCTTGACACCCTGCTGGGCATCACTATAGGCTGAGGCCCTCTCCAGAGCTTTCAATCAAAATGGCGGCACGCTTACAAGTCTAAAGCGTGATCGGAAAATGTAACAAAAGCACGATTTTCTGCCTTTTCAAAGCACCCAAACAAAATATTTTTAGATGACAATGAGCAATGGTTCCATCTGATCGTATAACCGATAACAGGTAAATTTGCCAGCTAAGCATTTGACATATAAGCTCTGTTAACCATTCTGTGAACATTTTTGGCTGTTTTAACAGCTAAATCGCTGTCAAGTATATCTCACTATCTGAGCAACAGATCGTTACAAAAGTTGCTAGTTACAGTAATTGTTGTTGGGAATGTGGACTACAGCCTAATATGAGGGGTTTTATAGGAAATTATTTGTTTGAAAGTTGTCGTCTTTTGAAGCAAATTGCCCATTGAAATATGGGGTAATTTAACGTAAAAGATAATAAAATCAAAAGTAAATAGTTTAAGACAATTCCCTGGTACCCGATTAAAGTGCTTTCATCCAGCTTTATAGGGCCGTTTGAATCACTTGAATAGCTGTCTTGGTTATAGAGAAAATCCCAACTCCGAAAACGACATTTTTCGCCCGAAATTGACGCTATAGCGTCATCTGTTGGACACTGCACTTGATCTTTGTATTTTTATAGGCCTTTTAGGAAGTATGTTTTAATATTTTATAAAAAACTTTAAGTCCAGGGTATTGTTTCTATGCTTTTGGTCGTTTTACTATTTGTGCGCTTAAGAGACTGTCTGATATTTTGCCAGAAGGAAGAGAATTTATGTGATTTTATAGACTGAGCATATCTTTCTAATGTGGTTCTTTAGAAAGGCATCTTACCTGATATTAACACGGGTTTCTGGATTAAAATTCAATTCGATGTATTTTTTATTTTATTTTGTAACTGAAATAATCATGAATCTATATTATAATAGTGGAAAAATGCCTTAACTCCAGGAATAAGGTGGACAGTTTCATATAACTGGCAAGAATCTTCTAAATTGATAAATGTTGGGCAAACGTTGGCCAAGGTGAGCTTTAGATTGAAACCAAAGGCAACGTTGGGCCAACGTTGAACAACGTTTGCATGATATCTGGGATGGAATCCATTATGCACACTGATACATTTGTAACTAAAAAAACATGTTTCCTGCGGCAGTTGAAATTAATGTGAAGCATATGATAAAGTAATCCCGTTCTGACAAAATCTTCTTACAGAGTCACCTTTCTACTACTCCATCAGGCCATGTATCTACTCCACCAGGCTGTGTTGAATGGTGATACTGGCGAGGTGAGACGACTGCTGTGGGATGGGAGATATGATGTCAACTACAAGGAGTCTGCGGTGCGTACTGTTTCTCCTTTTCCATATATACATCTATCATAAGGATGCTTTAATAAATACACTGGTGTTTTATGAAACATAAGGAGGTTCTATAACTAACCACATTTTTACTTCTATAAACCTTAATTAATGTCCCTTCTTTGCACAAGACCCGCAAATGATCATTTAACGGGAACAAGCTTCCTGGCTCAAATTTAAAAAGCATTCTTCTTTTTTTCTTTTTATTCTTTCATTTTGTGTTTTATTCTTTCCTTCAAGGCCTCGGTCACAACCTGGCGCACGAATTTCAGGGTCATTCCCTTTGAGTTGTAGGTGCATTGGAGGGCGTGGAAGGCGGGTGACGCACTCCCGCACTGCTTTTGATTAAGTTTGGAAGTTGTGAGGGCGTGCGCCGTACTTAACACCCAGGCGGCACTTGCTCCTTCATTGCTTGCTATGTGCGTCTAAGATCACAGTTTTTCTTCACATGGTACTTTAAAAAAATAACACGTCTCGTTTGCAAACTCCTTGCAAACTCCTTGCTAGGGGAGCAAATTATCCTAATATTTTTTCTCCATACGCTGTCTGCAATCTCGAAATCTCAAAAGAAGGATTTACGCGGCTCTTGAGATTTTGGACACAAACAGGCCCGTAAGTTGTGACCGAGGCTTGATTCATTTCCTCATTGTTATTTTGATAATCGCTGTGATAGTAGGGTTTGTACCATTCATATGCAAACGAACCTTGTGGTCAAAGCGGACCTCTCCTTGTGACTGTTACGGGGTTTTCGTGGTAGAATTTGTGGTATTTATGTCCTAAATACTAACGAACTATACATGCACCTACAAGTTTTATCACCCTGTGCGGAACCTTGGTAGGCTACATGTATACCGATATTCTTATTAGCAACTGTGTCCTGTGGGTAATAACACCCAAACAAATGATACATTAAAGGTTTATTCTCATTTGTAATCCATTAACTGACATGTATTTTTAATTCACATATAGACAAAATGATATATAATAATGAATTACTTTGTATTAAATTTACTATCCCGTAGAGACAAGTTTCGTCATTGGGCATCTAGTCAACACTATAATGACAGCGTAAGCTTCAGATTAAGTATTTATACGGTAATACTATAGTAACATCCCTTAGTTTCAGGGGCCTCCAAAATCGTATGCAAAATTAAAGTAAAGGCGATACAAAAATACTGTAAACTACTACTAGAGGATCCTTTGGTCAGACAATGTTAATTACAGATGATGACCATACGCTGACCACAGTATCTGGAGCCGGAATAATATGTAACAGCTATCACTGTACTTCATTTACGAACCCGAGTTTACTCTGTGTGTGAACATGGCAGAAACAAGAATGAATGTCCTTTTAATAATTTACAAATAAATAAAATGAACTTAATGCTGAACTGAACTAACATGGAAAAAGTTTAATGAACAACATTAATGAACTAAAAATATTGAATAAATTTCTAAACTAAATAAGTAAGAAAATAAATGATAAGCACTGAAATTATCAAACAAAATAACTTAGAAAAATACAAAATCTTAACACAAAGAAAATGAAAAGCAAACCAATCAAGTCTATCAAACCTGTGTGTGAACATGGCAGAAACAAGAATGAATGTGCCGCGTAACAAAGAGGGGCGTGTTTTATATAGAAACGAAGACACACGGACACAAACGAAAAGTCACGAACACACTTCTCTACAACCACAATCCTACATCATACATACACATGTTACAAATATTTAATTTTTCAAAGATTTCTAAAATGTGAGATAATATGATTATAGTCTAGTAAATAAATATAATTATGATATGTTATTGTTTTGATTTCACCAGAATGGATGGTGTCCTCTGCACCTAGCAGCGCTGAAAGGCAATGCAGATATGGTGAAACTATTCCTGGACAGCGGGGCTGAAGTTAATGCGGAAGACTCGGTAAGACGCATGGATGTGATTTAAGCGCCCATTTTCGTTCGTGCAATATTTATGTATACGTATATTTATAGCTATCAATATTAATATTGATATGGGCGTTTCAGTTTCTGTAGTTTAGTGCTGCAGATAATCCAACCAGTGCATTTTCCATAAAATCCGCCCTTGAATGATTTTGTGTATGCATGGTGTAATGTGTTAGCGAGTTGGGTAATGCAGTTATGTGCTTTTCCTTTGTTTGACTATGATGTATTCAAACCACGGAAAGATATTTAACTCCTTTCATTTGACCGTTTTTGAAGTCAATGACCAGTTAGAACACATCTTCTATGTGGGACATACATAGTAGGCTACCAATACTTGTGACACATATTGTAACACATGTGCAACATGCAAAGGCCACAAGTAGTAAGGAATCAGGCTGAGGGTACTATCGGTGGGTGGATTGTTTGTTTGTTTGTTTATATGTTTGCATCATTTTTTGGGGGCTAACTAGGGCTACGAATGCTTATGTCGTGTAATTTGATAGTAATCCTAGAGATTAATTTTACGGCCGTATTTCCACGTGGCGATAAAACGCATGCGCAGAAAGCTCATTTCCGGCAAATTCAATAACGACGTTTGCGACAACCTACTTCGTTGGGGTATTTTTTTATTTTATTTGTTTATTTATTTATTATTATTATTAATTTTTTTTTGAGAAAGGACGAAAATTGGTACACGCGCAGGATGTCATCTATAAAAATAAAAAAAGTGTGGCCTTTATAACCATATCGAGAAATACCCAGTACACATGTACAGTACAAGGAGCTTAAAATTACATTTCTATCAAAACAGAGAGCAATACCCGTGGTTATCTTTCCGTCGCCAGTATGCTATTCCAATCAAGATGCCAGTTCAGAAAAAAAAAATAGTAAATAATCTCTTGTACAAGCTGATTAATTTCCCTTCTACCTCCTGAATATTGCTATTTATAAAATATATCCCATAGTGTAAATACGTAGCTTGTATCCCAATGATGGAGATGTGATTGTAAATCCTTCTGTAAATAAAACTACCTTGTCAATAAACAAATATCGCCATTCATTTTGAAACAAATTTCAGTGCAAGCATACTATTACCTATAAGATAAGACGCGACAAAAAATCAAAACAGACAAGATAAGATTTTCAAAAACAAAGACAATGATGTCATAGAAAATTTAAATACATCAGAAAAAAATAATAAAAAGACTTTAAAAAGAAAACAATAAAAAAGCATTCGTAGCCATAGGTACCCCCAAAAAATGATGCAAACAAATAGACAAAGAAACAAATAAACAAACAAACAATCCACCCACATTCAAAACACCGATAGTAACCCTCAGCCCGATTTCTTATTACTGCCACATAATCTGCATTATGATAAAGAGATGATGCGTTAAAACTAGTATTCGAATTAGCATACTTATTTTTTCAATCATTTTTTATGACATATATCCAGTTTATTTTACCTCTCTGATGTTATTTTTGTTTCAGCGCTATAGACATCAAATAAACAAATAAATTGTGAGGAGAGATGACATGATATGATATGATATGAAATTATATCATTATGCTGATCATTTGTTGTTACCAGGGTGGCTGGACTCCTTTACATGGGGCAGCGTATGGAGGTCATAAAAGCATCGTAAAGCTTCTCCTGGAGCGTGGAGCTGATCCTAATATTACGGATAAGGTTTGTGCTACAAAATGTTATATACAAAAAATGCACTAGAGTAAGTTGGTTGGTTTAACACATTTGGTATACTTCAACGTTTTATTTTGATGGATTCTGTTTCACTTTATTCTTATTTGGGTAAATTAATAAATTTAATGCAATGTAAATAAAGACAGCATGGGACAGGACATCACATGCAAAAAACCAAGTACACATTATTACCTCTATATGTAGGATTTCCCATTTCTTGGATTAATTGGTAATGTGTGTACCTTTTTTAAAATTTCATCTCGATGTTAATTTTAGTACATAAAATATATGAATAAAATGTAGAGAAATACAACATGATATGATATAATTATGCTGATCATTTATTGTTACCAGGATGGCAGAACTCCTTTAATTGATTTTCTTTTCTTGTTGTTTTCTTGTAAGTATTACTTCTGCATCACTTATGTAAACATATAAATATGTCAAGTCCTTGTGTCGCAACGTGTTTGAAAAAAATCTAAAAAACAAACATATATTACTGTGACAAAACAGTGTAAACTTCCTTGATTTGTAGGATAAACTAAGACCACATGACTTGGCTGTAAAAACGAAACATGAATGCATAATGATAATGCTGCAGAGATTTACTTCGCCGTTGATTCAGGTTAGTTTTGTCGAATGACGTAATTATGACTCACTTAAAATTAGGAAGAAACCTATATGTTATTCAAATTTCTATTATGTATGATAATTAGGTTGGCACAATCGATTTTTTTCTGGTTGTCATTACACTCATTCAACCTCTAAGAGTTCTGGGTCAATGTTGATTATTTCAGACTCATCTTCTCCAAAAATTAATTGCTACAATAAGTGACCAAGTATCTGTGAGACGTATCCGGTTCCTGGGACGTAGGCTGGGAGTACCGGACAGCAAGCTGGACAACATAAGGTCTCAGAATCCAAACAATGCACAGGAGGAATCATTCCAGATTCTGAGGGAGTGGATGAAAAGGTCAGCAGGGGCGACAGTCCATAACCTGTTCAAGGCTCTGAAGGACCATCAGTTGAACGCATGTCTTGGTTAGTAATTCTGACATCTCAATCTCGGTTCTGTTTGGATGGACTTGGTCAGAAATGTTTGTTTTTTTATTTTATTTTTGAACATTTTGATAAATATAACCATTTGAGAAAAAGTTGAAATATATTTTGTTTTATCTTTTATCTCTCTTGCGCATCAATTATAAGTGTATTATAAAACTATGACTCTTGAAACTTATTAAATGGTTTTATTTAAATTTACAGACCATGTCAAGAATGAATATCTTACCCTAAGTAAAGAAATATTGGCCAAGTCGGATGATGAGTTCAGCACGTTTTGTGCTTCTCTCGAGTATACAGATGGTATCACATTATCTGCTATGAAGAAGATAAATATGGGATGTTACGTCTCTGATGACATGAGATATATGGGTTTGCNTTTTTTTTTTTTTTTTTTTTTTTTTATTTTTGATCATTTTGATAAATATAACCATTTGAGAAAAAGTTGAAATACATTTTGTTTTATCTTTTATCTCTCTTGCGCATCAATTATAAGCGTATTATAAAACTATGACTCTTGAAACTTATTAAATGGTTTTATTTAAATTTACAGACCATGTCAAGAATGAATATCTTACCCTAAGTAAAGAAATATTGGCCAAGTCGGATGATGAGTTCAGCACGTTTTGTGCTTCTCTCGAGTATACAGATGGTCTCACATTATCTGCTATGAAGAAGATAAATATGAGATGTTACGTCTCTGATGACATGAGATATATGGGTTTGCCCCTTACAAGGTACAACGCCAATTCCAAAGAGCGCATGGCCTTGTACCGCCTTGAATGGAATGGCAACTACGAGATTCCGGCTTCGTACGCACGGAGGGCTGTCGTTAGTTGACCTTGTGTTTTTGATATGACAGAGGGTCGGCAAGTTATCGGCGTGTTACTTCTAATATGTGTTGAATTATTACTTCTACGTTGATCGCGTTGAATTATTTGAATTATTGACTTGTGTAAAACGTGCCACTGCTTGACAGTATTGTTACAAACATATATTTTACTGTTTTTTTTACAAATTATAAACAATACATTGCATTTAATTACTATTTAGCCTACACACACTGGACAATAGAAGTGTCACCTCTACTGAACCAATATCTTGTAGGAGATAAATGACTGTGGAATGATATGCTCCTGGTATCATTTCATTAACATCAAATTTTACAAAAAAAAAAAAAAAAAAAAAAAGAAATGAGAACAAAACATACATTCTACCAAGATATGCAGTTTCAAGTCCAGAATTAGTAGTTAGTGGCATAGCTATGTGACCTTATAATAGCTGCTAGTCTACGAGGCAAGGATTCATGTAATTGTCTGATGCGTTCAGGGCTTATGCCGGCCCAAGCATGAAACACTTAATCTAACAGAGTGTGTCTGCTGGTTGGACTGGCATTTGTCAAATTTCTGGCATATCATTCCATACATTTTCTATAATGTTTGCATCCGGACTCTGGGCAGGCCACATCATAATAGCTTTTTCATCTACAACCGGAGCCTACATGTGATGTAAACAATGTACCTGACAATGTCAAGAAATTGGGAATGATGATTATCAAAGTGGTGTAAACTTTCTGAACTTAAAGTATGTGATAACTGAAAGATCTGCACAGGTACCCACAGTCAAGTTGGCACTTATGAACTGTAGATCAGTGAGGAATAAGGGATCTATCCTACGCGACGTGGTGAAGGATGACAATATTGATTTAGTCTCCTTAGTGGAAACCTGGATAACACCCGATCTTCAACATCATATGCTAGCCGATATCACCCCAACCGTTACCAGTGTATTCATATACCCCGCATGTCTTAGAGAGGGGGTGGAGTTGCTTTTCTTTCACAGGACAGTTTCACAGTAACCCAACAGCCAAAAAGGATTGATCCATTGTCTTTTGAGTACATTGAGGTTTTAGTTACAGCTATATCAGTGACATTGCGTATCATTACAGTATACAGAATACCGCCATCTAAAACCAATAATTTGCGAAAAGTTTTATTCCTTAGTGAGTACCTAGCACCTCTTCGAGGGAAACATCTTATCGCCGGCGACTTGAATATACACTGGGATTATAAACACATTTCTGAAACCAAGCAGTTTGCTTCATTAATTGATTCATTTGGACTTACACAGTACGTCTTAGATCCCACCCATGCTCGTGGCCATACGCTTGATATGGTATTGGCTAGGGAAAGTGATTCACTTGTAACATCATGTGAGGTAGGGCATTTACTTTTTGACCATCACGTTATCAACACCACCATTAGATGTGGCAGACCGCATCCCAGTAAGGAGAAAGTCTCGTTCAGAAAAATCAAGGGCATTGATGTGAATGCATTACAACGACATGTTACATCACAGCTGGGTGATTTAAGGTTTGATAATTTGAGTCCTGAGGAATGTGTGCTTCTGTATGACAGGACATTAACAAATGCACTTGACAACCTTGCACCTGTCAAAACTAAAACATTTGTTAAGAAAGATCTGCAACATTGGATGACTGATCACATTCTGGAGGCAAAGCGAGATAGAAGGAAGACGGAAGGGAGGTGGCGAAGTAGAAAATTAACTGTCCATCATCAGATCTATAAAGAAGCATGTTGCCATGTAAACATATTATTCTGACATGATACAAGAATGTAATGGTGATACCAAAGCTTTATTTAGAACTGTCAACCCCTTTTTGGGAAAAAACCAATTGCTCTAAGTACCCCAAAACAGATTCAGTGAAAGATCTAGCAAACAACATGAGTGACTTTTTTGCGTCTAAAGTCAGTAATATCAACGCTAAACTTTCTGAATTAGAAAATACTGTGACTATGTCATCGCATCAACCTTTGTCAGAACTTTAACAAGAAACGCAGTCACTCATCACTATGTTTGAACCAACAACCACTTGTGAAGTAACAAAAATAATAAACAGTTCCAGAAAGACATCATGCATGTTAGGCCCAATCCCATCATCATTATTAGTTCAGATTCTTCCGGCTGTAATAAATTTGATTGTGGAAATTATCAACAAACGTTTCACTGTGGGTGTTTTTCCAAATAAAGTTTTAATCTGCAATATTTCGCCCACTACTCAAAAAGGACAATCTTGACACAGATCATTTGGTAAACTATCGTCCGGTTTCCAATTTGTCATTTTTATCCAAGGTAGTAGAGAGGGTTATAGCAGTTAGACTATTTAAGCATTTAGAAGCAAATAATATTGTTGAGGAGATGCAGTCAGCCTACACATTTAATCATAGCACAGAATCTGCACTTTTGAGAATTAAAAATGTGGCGTTGACAAACATTCTGCTATGTTATTGGTACTGTTAGATTTGTCTGCTGCCTTTAATACAGTAGACCATAATATTTTATTGACATTTCTAGAGCAGAGTGTAGGAGTTAAAGATAAGGCCTTGGTTCTTTTAAGATCCCATCTTGTTGGGAGAATGCATCAAGTTAATATAAACGGCGTGCTTTCTGAACTCTCACAGCTTTTATTTGGTGTTCCTCAGGGGAGCGTTCTTGGCCCTCTAAAGTTTTGTGTTTACACATTACCCCTTGGAGCAATTCTGCGTTATCGTAAGATAGGTTAGCTCTTTTATGCAGATGATACTCAGTTGTACACATCTTGTAACATCCATGATCCAGCATTGTCTGTGAATACCATTGTTGATTGCATGTCAGATCTCAGAGGTTGGCTCATTTCAAACAAATTGAAGATAAATGATGGAAAAACAGAATTTTTAGTCATTACTCAACCCCACCCTACTGAGGGTTATGATCGTTACTTTTTTACGTGTAAGACAATAAGACATTTTCAGGCGCTTGTATCTATGCACTAGTATTGGGTACAAATATAATTATTATCGTGCGAAGTAACAATGTTATTGTAATCAAATTTGAAACTATATCATAGTGATGGCTTTAATCCAGCTAAATACCAACAAATTTAACGGCGATTTTTGGATCAAGGCAATGCGCCATAAATGTCATGGCGGACGCGTCATCTACAAGTCGCATTTACTCGACCGCAGTTTTATCATACCAATATTGCAACATCTGTTGCTTTATAACAACTGAATACAACGTTACCAGTTTTTGATGTTTTGGTCTTACATTTTTAAACCATTCGACTCATTGCTAACGTTAATTGTTTTATGTACAACTTTGTCCATTGTAATGGGAACATGTATGTCCCTTTGATTTATGTACAGTATTAAGTACAAATTATGTATGTATTATAGTTGTCCTGATTAAACTGAGTGTTCAGATTTTATTTGTACTCATTATACATATATTCTCTTTGTAGATGTGATGCTTCTCTCAAGTGATATGTGGTTGGTTGTGATTTTAGTTAACCGTACGCTAGGTTTCATTTTTATATCCTGTGCATGTTACTTGTTAAATGAAGTTGCCTACTTTTAAATGTTAACGTATCCAGGAGCCTGTTTATGCACTACATGTATATTGGATTAGTGTGCAAATATATATCACGCACTGTGGCAATGCTATTTTAGTGAGATTAGCCGTGTATTTCATAGTGGTACCAGTTATTGATATTCTGATCAGCATACAGCACATTATGATATGCCAGTAAGAATTCAACCAAAATCATTACCTAATGAAATAAGGAGAAAAATTGATTTTGTGTGTCATTTTCCACTTAAAATCAAACTACTTTACATTCCAGGGCATATATCCTTAAGAACACCTGGGTGTAAGTACTAACTAAGAGATCCTAAGAAGAAAGGATAAGTTTTAAAAATGTAAAACAAATTGACAGAAAAAAGTTGCTTTCTTTGTTTACGCGCTCGCTTGATTCATGTGTTTACTTTTCCAAATGTACTGTCTTTCTATGCAATAAAGTCTGATTTTGTAATTCTACTGACCATACATGTAGTCAGTTTTTTCATCGGGAGACTTATTCAATGGTTCTTTAATGTTTACCGGAGTTAGCACACATCAAGAATTACAGATTTACATGTCATTAGTTGTAAATGACCGATTACGAAACGGGTTCAGTAACAAAACATAATCATACATACACAAGTGTGTGTAAGTTTTTGCTAAATAATTGTTCTCCCTCGTTTCCGGGACAACTAACTATGAGAGAAATATCTGTCACAGTCTTTGGGTGCACATATGGTACTTTTTAAAGAAGGACGGGCGAAAAAAATATTTAGGAAGGAATATGTACACTAAAAACGCTTACGCATACAACCCAAGCTTACACCTCAAGATCTCGCGCCAGAATGGAGAAAGGATGAGATCACCCAATGGGCCCAACCTCAAAGATGTGGCGACGGACTGGTCAAGATAATTTTACTTTATTTATTTATTTATTTATTTATTTATTTATTATTATTATTATTATTATTATTATTATTATTATTATTATGCTCTCTTGGTTGTTTTCATGTTGCTGTATACATTGATACCTTTGGCCTATTAAAAGGCATTCAGATTTTACACGATGGCCAAATTATAGTCAAATTATTGTCAAATTATTGTTGCGGGGTCTCAAATCCATGTCCTACCCCCCCCCCCCCCA